ATACGCAATGTCTTTATTTATAGTAATAAGGGAGGGAAAAAAATCATTTTCCTCAATGGAATACAACTCCTAATAGGGAAGAATAATTAGAATAAAATCTAGTTTAAGATTTACTGAATCACACTTAAATAAGAATTTTATAACATCAATTTAATAAATGATGGACCAAAATGATTTGACAATCAATTGATGATATTTTTGTCATTTTCGCCTTATTTAACTGAGTTTTCATTGAAATAGCAAAATGATTGATGCTAGACAAACTCATGACTACTTCCATTAATTTTAAATTAAGGACCAAAGTGAAAAGTTATGCCAATATTAGAAACCATTCTGGTAAAAAAACCAAAATTTTAAACATTAAACATATCATATGCTAGAGTTTACAAGGAAAAGCTGAAATTTTGGGCCGGGCTGAACATGAATGAATGGGCTGGACCAAATCATGATTAGGTAGTTCTACCCGATGACATTTCCCGCCACAGAAAAAGAAAAAGAAAAGTCGTTTGCCTCCCATCCCAACTACCTCCATTTCTCTCCAAATCCCAACTCAACTGCTACTCCGCTCAGCTCCCTAGGGTTTCTCAGAGCCAGCCATGGCCCTAATCTCCTCCTCGCAAACCCTAACCCTAAGATCCACTTCTCCAACCCTCTCTCTTCCTTCTCATCCATCTCACTTCGCTATTTCCCAATCACCACCTAACAATCCTCACTCTCTCTCCCTCTTCTACTCTCCGAAATCAACGACACAGTTTAGCGCTAGACGACTTGTCGTTCCTAGAGCCTCCTCAACCGAGAGCACCGCTGTGGATTTCAACCCCAGTATCGGTGAGATCCTCGGCGACGTTAGCATTTTCACCGCCGCTGGTGATTCCGTCCAGTTCAAAGACCTCTTGGTTCCGAACGAGGTCACTTTTCTACTTTTACCCTCTCAAATCTCTCTAATTTTTCTTAAATTATTGATTGGATTTGTTTTTGTGATTTTAATTTCTTCTGGAGTAACCTTTTAATGAAATTATAAAGATACTTGCTATAATAATGTGCAGAAATTATGAAAATTTTGTATTTTTTCTTGATTTGATGTGGTTTATTATTTTTGAAATTGTTGCTTATTTATTTTGTTTCAGGGGGTGGCTGTTGTTGCACTATTGAGGCACTTCGGATGCGTTTGCTGGTAATTAGTCTTCTTAACCATATTTGTAATTTGGGTTTGGGGCTTTTTTTTTTTTTTTTTTTTAAAGTTGCTGGATGTTCTCTAGATTTGTTACTTTTTTATGTGCTTGTTTTTTTGAAGTTGGGAACTTGCTGCATCTTTGAAAGAAAATAAAGCTAGATTCGACTCAGCCGGTGTGAAACTAATTGCAGTCGGTGTTGGTACTCCTGATAATGCTCGTATCCTTGCTGAACGGGTATCTTTAATTTCCTCCTTGTGTCACCACAGCGTTTCTTCAGCTGCATTTTTTAAAGCTGTGTTTGCTGCTGTTATTTTTGACGGTTATATCTGCATTTTTATGCATTTAATGAGTATCACAATCGGATATGGCATGACAAGAATGGGTATGCGTGAAAAAGCAATATGGTTTTATTTGATATGTGTCAGGTATGCATCCACATACATCCCATATACATGTTGGATCAAGGAATGAGAGCTAAGTGTTTTAGCAAATGGTTGTCATCCTTATATCTGATACATAACATCATTATGAGTGGTGAACGTAATGTTACATTAAGCATGTTAGTTTTTTGATCATCAAAAGAAAGCCACTTGACATGAATATCTGTTCGGGGTCTTGTTCATGGGTCACAGATACAGGCACTTATTTTTTAACATCTGTAACCATCAGATGTGTATCTAACAGTTTTAAGTGTGTTGGGCATTACCATTTATCTAACAGTTGAAGGCTACATAATATTTTCTGGGAACAGTATTTACCTGTACGAGGTTCCTGCAACATCTCTTTATAGTACTCATCAGAAGAACTAGTTGATCTGTTTATCAAGCAGATGTCTTTGTTGAGCGTTTATTCACCCATTGCAACAGTCCTTTGACACTTATTGCCCTTAAGAAACTCAAACTAATCCCGTTTGTTATGTGATTTTGAATAAGTGGGTGAAGGGTGAAGAGAGAAGTTAGTGAGATAATGGTTGGAGGGAAATAAGAATAAGGGAGACGTAGTTTTTTATGTAGGGTGATGACAGGAAACATAATTTGTACACTGTGCAGTTAATGTTGGTGTGTACACAAACATAATTCGTACAGTGTAGTTAATGTTGGCGTGTGTGTGTACAATGTGTGTGTGATATGTGTTGATGCACAAAACCGGAGGGGTCTTGGAACAACGTAAATCCGACCGTGAATCTGTAAGAAAGTAAAGAACACAAGATGTATCGTGGTTCACCCCAATGTTTGGGCTACGTCCACACTGATATTGTATTTTTCTAAGAGGATTGAGGATGAGAGGATGAGAGCTTCTGAGGGTGAGAGAGCTCTTCCCATGGCCTAAGAATTGGCCTCCCCCAATGAGGACAGTGAGGAGTCCTTTTATAGAATAAGGACTCCTCACTTATTACATATTTGCCCCTTACTTTATTACATAATTACATTTGAGTCTCTCTAGTATTTATACGAGATCTAAATACGGAGGCCCCAAGTATGGTACAAACAATATGCATCTTCAACTCTTAAATGTGGAAGGATCTAAAGTTCCTCATCTGGAGGTTGAAGGTGTGTTTAAAAGTATGTGGTTTTATGGCTCTTGAATAGGGCCCTTTTATTATATTAACCGGTTCAGAAAAGTAGAAAAAGTAAGAAAGCCTATGAACCTTCAATGATTCTAAGCTGTATTAAGATGTGTAGAATTGAGACCCTTCTTGTACCTGTTTCCTTGACTTTCTTGATCAGAAGCATGCAATCACATATGGCTAGCTACTATCATGTCATATGTCGTGTTTATTTAAGAAACAGTTCGGTTGATGAAAGATTGACATGATTGATTAATCTGATCACTTGATTTCTTCATATGCTCAAAATGTTCCAAAATTTTAGGAACCTTTTGACAAAATGAAACAAACATCATTTGTTGAAGTCTCATTCAATCATGCTATCATAGAACGGAACCTAGTTTGTTTAAATAAGCATGTCACGTGACATGATAGTGGTTGATCATGCTTGTTTATATGCTTTCCAATTGGAGAAAGCTATTTACACCTACTTTGACCTTAATGTCATTACTTAGTTTGCTTAGGTTCATGTCGATGATGCCGGACTTTGGCATCAGTAATAGGTCTGCCATAGCAGGATACTGGACTTTGGCATAAGTAGTAGGTCTGAAGTTTCTACGTCACATGTTTAGAGAGACTTGGACTCAGATTATAGAAGAACGTGTAATCGTCTCTTCGCAAATTATGTTCAAGGCATCATAGCATTTGAATAAGTTTACAAAACATAAATCCTATAATTCTCCTTAAATGTTTAAACCAATCATTGCGATTTCTTAATTTAATATGTGCATACTGATGCCATGGACTTTATATCTTGATCTCTGGGCTGATTCTTTTCCCCATGATGTCCTATCTTCAGTTACCATTTCCAATGGATAGCCTTTATGCTGATCCTGATCGCAAGGTAATCTATTTTGTAATTTTTGTCTTATCAAGGCAACAAATTCTATATATACTTTGTCTTGATCGCAAGGTAATTCATTTTATAATGTGCTAAATTATGTATGTTTAACTGGTGAATCTCTTATTCTGGTGAATGTAACTCTGACTCAACACTTCGGTTATAGGCATACGATGTTTTGGGCTTATACTTTGGACTTGGACGAACTTTCTTCAATCCAGCTAGTGTATGTTCATTTCCTGCTTTCTGCTTGTTATCTTCAATCCAGCTAGTAATTTTTATGATATTTGTGTATTTTTGGAAAACTATGATATGGCAGGCAAAGATATTTTCAAGATTTGAGGCTTTTCAGAAAGCTTTGAAGAATTATACCATTGAAGCCACTCCAGAGGACAAAAGTAGTGTGTTACAACAGGTTTAAGCTTTTGATCAATTCTCTATAATATCTTATTAGGAGTTATATTAAGCAGATAACCTGGTCGATGTGGTGGTTGATTCAACCCACCCTTAATTTTTTTAACAGATGTTTTACTTTTCTTATTTTCAATATAAATCAGGGAGGGATGTTTGTCTTCAAAGGTAAGCAATTGTTGTATGGTCGGAAAGACGAAGGGACTGGTGATCATGCCCCTTTAGATGATATCTTCGATGTTTGCTGCAAAGCTCCCATCTCATAGATCCAGTGGAGTCTCCATACGAAATACAGAGACTCATTCATATTTCATGCAGCAGAGTAATCAGACCATCGGACAGTCCGCCTGTTCGACCGTGCCTGTCTTAACGTTTGTATAGTTAAAATTCAAATGTATGCTGATAGATTGCATTTATCTGGCTGTAGTATATAGATTGCCAAACAGAATGGAGTTCGTTGTAGTGTGTAAGGCCCGTATTTGCTTAGTTCAATAAGAAGTGGTCATGTGCTACATTGTCTTGCCAAAACATTCGTGCCAAGCAGCACGCTACTTTTCCCCCTTCACAAAAGCAATTTTTCACCTTGATCTTCTACATACAAAATTAAAAACGGGTCCGATTTTTCTTCTTTTTTATGCATTTGGATATGATATCTTGTTCATCTATTTATTTCGCTTTGTTAAATTTATATATTTATTATCCAAAAATAAATATATTTTGAGACACTTAATATTTACTTTGTGCCCAAAAAAAAAAAACTATGAATGAGGTAGTGAATTATGAGGTGTAATGGTGTATCACCGTATGTATGTTGACAATAAGATTGAACATTTAAGGTTTATTTGGAACTGCTTAAGTAGAGAATAATTCTCAACATGTAGGAGTTTATTTAAAAATCTTATAAAAAACATACACGCGCATAAAAAGTGCTTCTAATGTTTGTACAACTCAAACTTTTGGACTTCGATCAAAGTACCCAATTTATTGGTATTTGAAGAGAATTGAGCTTAAGATCAATTGTTTATAAATGTAGAAAATTACCATTAGACTCTTAAACTAACTACCAATAACAAAATAAAATTAATCTTTTTTGCTTATAAACAAAATTAATCTTTAATATGAGAGAAAAAAATATCAAATGGTGAGCGCAAAGATGGAAGAAAATGGCAGGAAGATTGGTTGAGTCGAGCAGAAAGGGAAACAAAAATAAAATAAAAAATTGCCTCATTAGGGATCTGGAGCCGTCGGATATTTTGAACGGTGAATCCTGTGTGTGTACGGACGGGTAAGAAACCTAATCCTATCAAAACTCTGTTTGTTAGTTAATTTATTTACATTATGATTTCTAATACCCGAAGGAGAAGGAGTACTCTCTAGGTACTTAAGGTAAACTCTCCTACTCCTCGTTTGGATCACTTGTAATATTTTTTGAGAACCTGCAAGTGTGTTTTCTAGGTTTTGGTTGCCATGGAACCTCAGCCCAGAAGGTTGTACGTGGCTAACTTACCGAACAAGTTTACTGAAACTACCATGAAAGAATACTTCTGCAAGTATGGTGAAGTAAAGGACTGTGTGATTATCGTAGACAAAGTTACTCGTAAACCTAGAGGATTCGGCTTTGTTTCCTTCACTCACCCATCGGTGGCTGAACAAGTCATGGGAGAAGGGCACATCATCCTCGGTAGAAAGGTATGTTTCTATCTATGTTTTCTAAATTTGTACCAACATAGGTGTTATGATTTACGTTCGACCATGGCGCTGCATCCTCAATCCATGAAGAAAAACCTTCCGTTCGAAGAGCAAACGAAAAACCTTCCGTTCAAAGAGCAAACTTTGCTAACTCATGTGCCACTTTGTTACCATCACGCCGCTGCCACACAACAAAAACCAGGGAAGCATCATCAATCAGGCATCCTGTGCCACCTACCTAAACATGCAAGCCTCAGTTGAATTTATAGCCTCCACTGCCCCTCTTGCATCCAGTTGAAGCGCAATATATAGTTCGAAAGCCCATGTCTAGTGCACCTTGCTGCCACTTATTTTCTAGCATATCTAACTTTTGTTCAAATTTTGTGAATCTGTGCGTTCTTTTTACAGTTTAACTTTTGGTGTATGAGATAGTGACCTCTCTTGTCTTTCTTGTCTTTCGTTTTCCAAATTATATGATGTAGGTAGATGTGAAGACAGCTTTACCAAAGAGTACTGTGAAAAACCAAAACCAAGAGGACCAACATGCTCAATCCGAACCATCTTATAACGCCAGAAGGATTTTTGTTGGAGGTTTACCACACAATCTAACGCAAGAGGAATTCAAGAACTACTTTGAGAAGTTCGACACAGTTACGGATGCGGTTATAGTATGTTGCAAGGAAAGTGGCAAGTCCAGGGGCTTTGGCTTCATCACTTTTGAATCAGAGGACGCCGCGGATGAAGCCTTGCAGAACAAATATCATGAATTGAATGATAAATTCGTGGAGGTAAAGAGGGCTGTGCCGATGGTTACAAATAAGAATCCGGTCACGACATATGACCGTAACCGAGTAGAATTCGATTATGGAACAAGGCCTCATCGGTTTGGAAATTTTGGAAATTTGTTATATAGTGGTGTTTACTGCATTAGTTGTTTGAGTCCTTATGAGGTTGGACACCAAGAAGGGTGCCGTCCACTTGGTTATCTTTTCCCTTATATATGTCCGTATGACCATCAAGTCTAATTCTTAGGGGTCCGATGGGTTAATTACTTGTAGTTTCAGACCTATTCGGATTTTGATCAATGAATTTGAGATATGATATTTGTTTATGAAGGCCTCATCGGCCATGACATATGAAACTGTTATTCGTACTTCAACTAGGTACGCTAAAGAATCTTTGAAGTACAATTTCTGTTATATTTTTATAAAATAAAATGAATGATGAGACTTTATGAGTGTTAACACCAACTCCTTTTATATTTGAAAATATGTTTTTGTTCAGAATTAGTTGTTTTTGAATTTAAAATATGTTGAAACCTTGAACTAGAATTTTTTAGATTTTACGAACTGTAGACAAAGCAGTTGTGGATTAAAATTTAAAAGTAATATTTTTTTGTTTTTGCTCCAATTCCGCCCACCCGAAACTTTTCACAGGTTTATGATAGTGGGCTTTTGTCCAATTCAATTGATATAGATTACTCCTAAATCTGGCCCATAAAAATAGGTCCATTTTGTGACTCATTGGTTCTCATACAGTTCACACCATGTCAACAAAACAAAAGAGTTTATCACAACCAAGGTATAAAATATCGATGATATCGGAAATATCGGTAGTCCAAAAACACGGAAATTTTGATGGAAATATCAGGATATTATCGATATCGATAAAAATTGAATAAAAACCATGGAAATTGCAAGAAAAACTTGGAAATTTTTATTGAAACTTTGCAGGATGTTTATTTAGTCAATTATCTATTAGTTTATCACAAAAATTGGAAGGAAATGCATTGCATGATGAATTTAACTGATTTAAGTTGATTATATATATAGCGAGCTGGCAAACATTGTAGTGTAGAAAATATGTAGTAATTAATGAAAGAAGTTTAAACACACCATAATCATTTATATATAATGAATTAGTACAATATTTTACACTTTATACATTGCATGGTAAGATACATGAGTGACTTAGTACCACATAGAGTTCCTATGAGGTTCAAAATTTTCACTATCTTCATCATCTCTATGTGTAGAGGAAGTGTATTGTGAAGAGTAGTAAGCAACCATGGCAATGACTTTCAAGAACCAAAACCCAAAAGTCAATAGGAAACCGAATACTTTGGTATTTTTTGGGATTTCAGGATTACCAAACAAATGGGATTTGGAAACCAATCCCATATCGAAAATTTCGGTATTTTTCGGGATGGTTTTGGTTTAGGACTTTTTCGGTTTGGGTTTGGGACTTTTTCGGTTTGGTTTGGGATTTTCGGGAATTTTTTCCAGCCCTACCATGTAAGTGACCAAATAAAAAATAGAAAAATTAAAAACCACATGTCATTAACTAAGTAATTAATTGACACAATTTAAAATATAATACTCAAGGACAATTACTGTTTAGAGTGAATAATAAAGGCAATTTTATTGTCTTTGCTCTTCACTAGCGGGTGAAGATGCTCTAAGAAAGAAGTAAAAGTGCAACCAAATCCAGCCTCTTGTGACTTATATAGGGCTTAGGGTTCTGCTAAAAAAAAAACTTATTTGAAACAGGACTGTTAAGGTGTTGTTACAAACAAAAATCATATGATGTTATTGTGTTAAAAGATAAAAAAAACATGACGATGCATGATACGTTTCAAACACCACTATCATAACGTCCCTATTACACTTATGTCCAATTTGAAAGGGTTTGAATTTTCCTTTACAGAAACACCCTACTTACAATCCCAATAGGTGTAAACCCAATGATAAAAAAAAAAAAAAAAAAAAAAACTAATGAAAAGAGCTTGAAAACTTTGAGTTTTAACGATAAGAACAAAATAAAGGGTAAACTGAATAGTACCAGGATTGACTTTTAGTGTAAAAATGTGATTTTTTGTTAAAGTGAATAGTACCAAGAATTTTTCGTTAAAGTTCCCAAGTGTAAACCCATATATATATATATAGGAAGTCTTTAAGGGAAGGAATTCCCTTCTTTTTTTCTTTTTTATAAAAATGGAGATTAGTTGTGGGGTCCACACGATATCAAATTTTAACGATCCGAACCGTCTAATTTTCAAGTTGCACCTCATAGATCATCCTTACAAAATATTAGCCAAATCGAAAATATTTAAGACATCTAATTGGGTTAAAAAATATTAATGAATATTTTGTTATATAAGAAACAATGAAATTTTATCTTGATAATTAAATAGGCAAATGATTTTAATTGAATTGAATTTTTGTAAGGATGATCTATGAATCGAGACTTACAAACAAAACTATTCAGATCGTTGAAGTTCGATGTGGAGTGAGCCCCACATCTAGTCCCCATATTTTGGAAAAAAATGAGGATCCCATATAAAGAGTCTATATATATACATCCCTGGGAATGTGAGAATCGTAGTGATCAAATTAGAATGGCTTTTAATACACGTTAACTCACTTTCTTCCTTGTATATGTAGGGATTTTCCTCTCCTATGAGTGGATTTGAAAATCTAGTTGGGTCAATGGGTTGTTGCGAGTTATATATTAGTTAGAGTATAAATAGTAGTCTGTTGTTCCATATTGATAAATGCATATGTAATACCAATTGTAACTCCTATATATACTCCACTTTGGAGATCAATGTATATACAATAAATTCTCAAATATTGTCATATATATTTTTGGTATTTACCATGTTTAGTTTGATATGGCATCAGAGCAGTTCGCTCTTGGTGACTTGTGTGCTTTAATTTTGTGCCCACCTTTGTCACGATTTCCTTAAAAAAAAAAATGAATAGTACCGTGCTATAGTACAACGCCTTGCTACAATACCTTAAACATTGGTTGCCACAATGTTCGTGAACATTGATCTACTACAGTACCGTGAACAGTGATTTGCTACAGTGTTCTGGTAAATTATTTTCATTCCGCTGCGTATCTTTTGTGCCTTTATTGTTTGTAATTTAGTTCAATGACTCAATAGAATTATAATGTTGTTATGCATCTTGGTGGAACAAATAAATGGATAATTGATACTAGGGCCACTGATCATGTAACTAGTGACCCTAGAGTGTTTGATGAGTTATGTGATGTGACTATATTTGTGATCTGTGTATTACTAGTGCAAATGGAGCACATTTCCCTGTGAAAGGTGAAGGCACTATCTCTCTTACTCCGACCTTATCACTGGTCCATGCTTTGCTTGTTCTTGATGTTAAGTGCAATCTTTTGTCGGTAGGAAAACTACTTGATACCTTATATTGTTTTGCTCACTTCTACCCTACGTATTGTTATTTTCAAGATATTCAAACTCAGAAAATAAGTGGTAGTGGTAAAAGAATAAGGGGTTTGTACATCTTGACTATGAAGGATACTGTTGTTTCCGATTCAAATAATCACCAAGTTTTAAGTGCTAAAGTGGATGACAGACATCAAATTTGGTTGTGGCATCGACAATTGGGACATCCATCATTCAGTTATATGAAGCATCTATTTCCGTCTTTGTTTCGCACTTGTAGTAATTCAGAGTTAAGTGTGAAACATGTGCCATGACTAAGAGTCATTGTGCTTTCTTTCCCATAAGTGATTCTAAAGCTACTTTGTCATTTGATTAGGTTACTTGTAATGGATTCCGTTGGTTTGTTACTTTTATTGATGACTGTACTCGATTAACTTGGGTGTTCTTGATGAAGAATAAGAGTGATGTTCCTTAAGGTCTTCAGGTCTGATAACAGGGGAGAATATGTGAATCACACTTTGGCATGCTTTTTTCGTGATCAGGGTATTATTTACCAGACGACTACTCCGTTTACACCCTAACAAAATGATGATGAAGGTTGCTTGCTCCTTGATGTTGGATAAATGTGTTATTAATCATTTGTGGGGTCATGCTGTTTTGGCTGCTGTGTATTTGATAAATCGTGTTCCAAGTAGGGTTCTTGTTTTTCAAACACCGCTTGATATGTTACAAAAACATGTTTATCTTGTTTCTGTATCAAAACTTCATCCGAATATGTTTGGGTGTATTGCGTATGTGCATGTTTACTCTTATCAGCGGAGTAAACTTGATGCATGTGCTCTCCAATGTGTATTTATTGGGTATGCTAACAATAAAAAAGGCTTTAAGTGTTATCATCTTCCGACTCAAAAAACTTATATTACCATGGATGTCACCTTCCATGAGGAAGTTTCGTATTTTGTGAAGCCTTCTTCCAACTCTCAACTTCAGAGGAAGGAGGGAGTGAAGTGCAGATTTGAAGAAATGGTATGGATGATGTGTTACATGCAGAGTTAGGGACATAACCTATTATGTTGCGTGATACTGATCAGTCAGCTATAGATAGTGATTGGTCACCTATCACTCTCGAAACTATTTCTACTGATAACAGATCAGATGTGCCCAACGAGTTACCTGTTAGTATGTTTGACGAATTACCTTCTGATGACCGGTTGCCTGCTTTTGGTATGTCTAACGAGTTGCTTGATGATGGTTCGTCCAGTGATGATTCTTTTAACAATTTGGTACAAGATGGTGACATACATGAGGTAAATTATGATGATTCTTCTACATATCAGTTGCATCCACAAGCTAATCGTGGAAAACCTAAAGTACAATATGAGCCTGATATGCATGCCAAAGCCAAATGTCCTATCAACAAGTATGTGTCTACTCATCGTTTGTTCAAACCATATGCATCTTACATATGTCAGTTATCTAGTGTATCAATTCGAGCAAAGTTGCACGATGCTTTGTCTGATCCTAAGTGGGTTAATGCCATGAGAGTTGAGATGGAAGTCTTGGAAAAGAATTCTACTTGGGATTTGGTTTCTTTACCAAACGGGAAGAAGGTTGTTGGATGTAGATGGGTGTTCACTATTAAGCACAAAACAGATGGTTCTATTAACTGGTATAAAGCTAGATTAGTTGCTAAGGGTTATACTCAAACCTATGGGGTGGACTATCAGGAGACTTTTGTTCATGTTGCCAAACTTAATATTGTGCGTGTTCTTCTGTCCTTAGCAACAAACATGGATTGACCTCTGTTGTAGTTTGATGTTA